TGCTTGTAAAAATGTAGATATTGGGCCCTGACACTGATACCATTGGGACACAACTTGTTTCAGTTGCTCTTTTAAAGTCACAGAAATAAAAGTATTTTATGTTAGCCTGTTAACCTGTGGGCCTAACCCTAAACCAAATTAAATTAAGTGCTCAACTTAAACCCTTTAAAGCAAATTCAAAAGCCTAGTCTCTATGTAAAGCTATTAATCTGAAATTTTACATTCAGCTGTCATAATTTCTGTAACTGTAACTAGTATTTAGTTATTGAAGTTGAAACACATTATAACCATTATCTATTTTTAAATTTCCGAAACTACAAAACAACAAAAACAAAAGGTAACTTGATTGACTACACAGCTGTGGTGTCAGGATGAAGCTCAGTGCTGACTGGCTGATTCTAGTCAGTCAATCACGTGTACCACGGACAGGTGGGACATGTGGGGCTTGCCACACATTTTGGGCTCTGTAGAGTCTATAGATGAACCTAGTTGGTCAAAAGAGGTGTCAATCAAAAGAAGACAACCAGTCAAATTCTTTGAACAGCCTATTATGCAAATTCAAAGTCCTTGGTAGGCTATAAAGAGGGAGGAAGTAACCATAAACTGAGAATGTACCGTGGGCGTTAGACAATAGATACATTTTTTTGGATGCAATATTTGTCACTTAGAAAAACCAAGATATCACAGGAATGCACTAAATGTGGAGTTCAGGGTTAACTAAGCCACCATCTGAAGCTTGAAAAGAACCACCACAACCTTTTTGACTGTCTAACAACAAAAGAACACAAAGTAACTGTCTGCAGTCTGTTCTGATAACTTGTATTCATTTCAAAACATTCATCTTTGAGATATGCGAAAATTTGTAAACTCACTTTAAGTAGCAGTCTAGACTGTGGGTAGTAATTATGTATATACACTCACAGTTGCTAAATAAAGAAATGCTGTACGTGTTCATGTGTGTGTTCGTATTCAGTGAGGAACCAGCAGTGTGTGTTTTATAGGCTGCGCTGAGTGATTGATCATAGGGAGCTGGGGAAAGCAGGTTACTGCAGCACTTACACACACACATTCATTCCTGTTCTGCATTTTTCATTTCCCCCTCTCCCCTCCTCCTTTGTTCCATCTCCATCTTTGCTCCCCCCCACGCATCGCTCTTCTAAATCTCTCTCTCTTTCTCTCTCACCCTCTATACATCACTCTCTCTTTCCCCGTCCCCCCTAGACGTCACTCTCTCCTCCTTCCTGCAGTCTCCTGCTCGGTCTTTCGTACGCTGTCAATAAGAAGAAACACCAAATAAATAAATAAAATGAAGAAGCAAAAGCATCTTGTATTTCCCCACTCTTTACCTGTCTTTTTATCCAGAGCCCAGGGGAATGGAGAGACGTTGTCACGTGATTCTTTCCTCCTCCTACTTTCCTTTCCTCTGTTATCCGGCTGCTGTAGTACTCTGCTGCAACTCTGGCAAAGGGGCTCCATTTGGTCTCAGAGGGCTTCCTCTGCCTCCTCCTCACCATATCGTCTACCATCTTACTGTATCCTGCCATCCATCCACCCATCTGTCCACCCATCTACAGTTCTGCAGTGTGAGTTCAGTTTTAGTCGCATTTTAAAGTTGCACTCATGGCTGCAGGAAACAGTTGCACTTTATGTTGCTAGATTGGTATTTGTGAAAGCAATCTCTGTGGAAAGTGAGGAAAAGACTGTAGATTTTACTTTTTCAGAGCAACATTTGTTTGGAGAATCGGGGAGAAATGGGCTTTTTATGAGGGCTTCAAGCTAACTGCTACTTAAAGCTCAAGGGCAAATCTGTGCTAAAAACAACAAAATAAACTTTTGTTCAGCAGTCCAGATGGTTATATTATTTGTATACCTTGTTACTTATGCCAGTCAGCAGTGATTTCAAGTTCAGCAGCATTAATAACAAAATCTACAAATAAAAAAATCTAAACATTTTTTGTGAAAATAAGGTTTGAAGTTGTTGGCCAGAGCAAAACAACTCCTGAAGAATTTATCAGCTGTAGGAAATTTTAGTGAAATTAGTTAGCGTAGCTACTGAGCCCGCGAGGGGACATGGGGGATTTTTTTTCTTTTGCGTTCCCACGCAATACCATCGCATTTCCTCGCAATACTTTTGCGTTAACTCGCAATATTGTTTTGCGTTCCCACGCAAAAGATTGATTTGTATATGAACTGAATTAAATCAGACTTTTATTTTGAAATATCCGGTTACCAAAACAGGATGTGTCGCCACAAGTTCGTGAAGTTGACATTGATGCTGCGCGGCTGCTCTGTGTTAAAATATCGGCATATGACATACTTCCACGCGTGACTGTGTGATATATTCATTCTAAAGCTGAATTAAAGTAGTAGGCTAACTCGCTAATGGTGAGCATGTGAGTTTGTTAATAAACGGGCAGGCACAACAGTGATAAACGACTTTTGCGAGGGAACGCAAAATGAAAAAAAATCCCCCATGTCCCCTCGCGGGTTCAGTAGCGTGGAAACCTGGACATTGTTGGGTTGACTAAACTATCAATATAATAAAGTTTCTCATGCAAAAGTGACATAGGACAGGGCAACACAATGGCTTAGTGGTCCTCACTGCTGCCTCACGGAATACATGTCAACCCCTTCAGACATCTATCTGTATACTGACCTTCAGAAATCTGTAAATCAAAATAAAAACCTGTAGTCCCTTTGTGTCTTTTCTCAGCCGTTTCAGCTCACAGAACGCATTACACAAATACATATTTATATAATAAACATCTGCTAAACTGTGAAATGTCAGATGTATATTCAAAAAATTCAGAAACATTTTAATGGTGACATATAGAAACATTTTCTGCTCTCACTACATAACATGCAGGAGGGATTGCGCAATCCATGTGGCGATAGAGCGGGGTTCAAACGATTGCACAATCTGGATGCAGTTTCCTCATAGTCTGTCTCATCCTGTATTTGAACAGGATATAAGGAAATTCGGCAATTTTGAATAAGAAACATATTAAAAATTGTTTAAGTTAATTGAAAATGTGTTTATAGTACAAAGCATTATATAAATATGACATTTTAATGTATTTAATATTGTTTTTTCTTTTTCATTTCCATGATGCCCTGCCTCTAGTGACTGCACGTCACTGCCACTGGTGTCACCTGTTGTGTGCATTACCCCAAGTCTGAACTCTGCAATGTGGACCTTGGGGCTCACAGTGTGTGATTGGTCAGAACTTCGTGGGTGTGTTTGTTCATGAGGAGCAATGCATCATTGAGGAGTAGGACCAGAGCAGAACTCCGAGCATCTCTTCCTTCCGCGTGTCATTTTGTTGAAAATAATCTTTTCTCTGAAGCTGGTTGTTAAATTGGAAAGATAAACAGCTTTGACGAGCAGATGGTTTGAGCCTATTGAACGTGTGAGCATGCATCTGATGTTCACGTCTTTTTTCCATCACCAGAAAAAAAGGTTTTCTTCCCAGACTCTTCACCCAACACAACACCGATCATTGACTGAAAAAAAAAAACATTATCCAGCCATCACTATTGTTGTTTATATAGCCTACTTATCTATGAGCTGTGGGAGGAATAATGCTAAGTTATGGCCTGCCGCATTCTCAGCCCGTTTATACTCGGTCAGGAAAAAGATGTCCGAAATAACGTAACGACCAACCCACTGTCTCACGTCATACTGAAGTTTAAACCAAGTTTCACCCAATTCACCCATGATTGAGTCCTGCTCTGAGCAGTGCTTAACTTGTCTTTCCAGTTAGAATTTCTCCACAAACACCCCAAATAGTTTTATTCACATTATTGTCTACTGCTGGTGAGATATTAACTATGCATAAGTAACAAAACCCCCACTTCAAAATCACCAAATTATCTCTTTAATGTTCCTAACTGCTTCATTCAGACTTAGCCAAAACAGAAACAATAAAGCCAAGGTAGCTCCATGTTTGCCACGTAAGAATGGACTTATATGATCAACTATAATCTAGATAGAGGTCATTTGTGTTATTTATCCATTTAAAACTGATCACATAAGAACAAAAGAGACAAAAACAGAGAAGGAGGGGAATGGAGGATGTTTTGATACCACTCTGTCAGCCATCTCTATAACAACAAACCTTCTCCCCCATTTTTCTGAGAAGTGACATTTCACTTTGCCCTGGTTGCTGCCCCCTGCAGCGATGCTCTGATCCAGCTTGTGTGAGTGTGTGTTTGTGTCCTCATTAAAGGAGGATAGTGACTGAGGGGGAGTGGCTCTGATCACACACTCACACCGTGTCAAATCAGACCTCTGCTGCGGCTTCAGGAGTGCACTTGTGGTCATAAAGCATCCAGTTCATACACACATACAAATTCAGAGCATGATTTAAATACTTAAATAGATAACATTTTACTGATTAGAACTATCAGAGTCAATGGTAATTAACTATAAACTGTTAAACTTCAGTAAATCCTATTCTGTTTTACTAATAAATGCTTTGCAGACGTTTGTGAGACATAAAGTGTAATAGTTTCAGGCTGCATCAGAAAGGAAAAAGAGAAAAAAATACATTTAAATGAAATGGCTCGGCAAAAGAGAAATGACCCAAAGATCCAGTAGTTAGTCTCTCTCATCAGGTAAACAACATCAGAAACATCCTACAGAGGGGTAGATTTGGCACACACCCAAAAGCATGACAGCGTAACACTAGATTATTATTTTTAGAAAAGAATAACCCTTTATTTGTCCCTCAGCTGTGTGATGAATGGCTCTGAGATGTTCAAACTGATCAAATCAGTCAAAAACTTTGAGTCAGAAAATATAAAAATGTCATGATCTCTGATTACACCAGTGAGCAGAACACTTGAGCGAAAGTGTTAGCCATGGAAATGCCTTCAAATTATTTCATTTGGCTTCATTTGTACAACAAATAAACACTGAAAATTTAAAAGAGAATCTTGATTTTTTTTTTAAAATAACATGAAAATGAAGAAAGCAATAGATGCTGGAGGGCACTCACCCGGTGAGCACGACCACGAAGTCCATGACGTTCCAGCCATTCCTCAGATAGGAGCCCTTATGTAACGCAAATCCCAGAGCCAGGATCTTTATCCCGGACTCAAAACAGAAGATGGCTATGAAGTAGGGCTCTGTCTCTTCCTGCAGGGAGAGGAGGAGAGGGGAAAAAGTGAGATGCGTAATGAAGAAAGATGGAAAGAGAAAAAAAATAGAAAGAGGAGATTAAGGTGTGTGTGTGTGTGTTGGGGGGGGGGGGTACAGGGAGAAGTTGAAAAAAGTGAGGTGAGAAAAGAACAGTCAGTGGGAGGCAGATTGTGGGGCATCTAGAATATATATATTTTTTTATTTCTATGTCATCATAATGGAAAAATATTGACTGCAGATATAATGATGCAGCAATTATACCATCAATCCATATGCTTACAATATGCTTCAAATGATCAAATTAAATGATCGTAAAGGGTTGTCATGACACGTGATGTCTAAATACACAAGATGTGTGTTATGTCCACTGCAAGTGCGCGCAATATTTATGTGGATGTGAGTGCGTAGATAGATATAAATAGTTATACCAGTCGTTCAGACAGAGGTGTCTTGTCTCCATCAGGAAGGTGCTGTTCCAGAGCAAGGACAATGCAGTTTGCAATGATGGTGGTGAGGATCATCCATTCAAATGGAGTATATCTGGAGTTAAGGCCAATATCACCAACAGGAGAGAAGCATGCAAAGACATACCACCTACACATGTACAATAATACATATGCATAAATATGCATTTCATAAAGTGTAAACAAATGCTCTCATATTAGACCTCATTAATGTATACTCCATGTTCAAACCATAATAAACTGTTTAACTGCAGCATTCATTTCACATAGTACTGGAAAATGATGATGAGGTTTATTTTTGCATTATGTATTTTATATATTTAAATTTTTAATCACATTGTCTGGACACTATTTGTTTACAATATTAGTAATTAATAATAATAATAATAATAATAATAATAATAATAATAATAATATTACATTTTATTTGAAGGCATCTTTTCATGGCACTCAGGGACATTGTAGGGACACTACAATAAAATAAAATGAAGAACAAGACAAAAGACAAAACAAAAGAATAAAACAACAACTACAGTAAAAACAACATTACTTAAAGGAGACCAATTATGGGTCCGAGAATTTTTTTTATGGTATGTTTGTGGGCTATCCAGACCATGTTCATTCAATTTAATGCACAAAATAATTCTCAGATGATAAAATTCCCCATTTTCTAGTTCTGCCTGCTCTGACTTCTGTTCAGAAGAGCTGTTTATGTTAATGAGCTCTGTTGGTAACGCCCTCCAAAAATCGGTTGACATTAACTCTGCCCTCCAAAGCCAGCGTTTACGTTAGCATGGCTAATAATAGCAGAAGCTCCGTTGTACAACCATATGAGACCCAGAGGCAGAGTCGTGGTCGCAGCTTCTTTCTTTTTCTCTCCCTCCTCTGCTCTGCTCACTCTGCATGCTGTTACCAGAGCAGGGAGCAGCAGCGGTCTAAATACCTCAGAAACTCGAACAAATAGGCTTTAACAAGGCTTTAATAAGCTAAACAATAGAGGTACACAAGAAAACGTGTTCATAACGAACAAAAATAAATAAATAATTACATTGTGTCCATGCTGGTCTCACGCTCTCTGGTCCAACACTCTACCCATTGCCCTATTAGAGGGCTGTTGTGAAATGAGCTGCGCATTACACAACAACAACCGTGATGGCTTTTTATACTGAGGAGGTGGAGTCTCACTCGGGGGTTGCTAGGTAAGGGGCTGAAAGCAGGTTCCGGTGGGTTGTCGTATGGCTTGTGACATCACAAAATGACGGAAGCATAAAACTTGTTGTTAATATACATTAAAAATACATTTACTTACAGTAAATATGCCCCTGGGTGCATTTCTTTGGTCCTAGGACTGTTTTTTTAAGAAGTACATACCCAAAGTTGAGTAAAAAAAACTTTAAAAAGTGAATTTTGCATAATAGGTCCACTTTAACATAACTTATAGAGGTGATGCGAAATGCAAGTTCAACTGAATATAACTGTTTAAAAGGAAGAGTTTTAATTTGTGATTTAAAAATGAAAATGAAAGGGAGAGTTTTGTGATCAGCCTGCCACAAAAAAATCAAGTCCAAACTAAGTTTTAGTTAGTTTAATCCATCCATCCATCCATCCATCCATCCATCCATCCATCCATCCATCCATCCATCCATCCATCCATCCATCATTGGGTTATACAGAGGCATTTCAAATCTATTAGTTAAGTTTTCATCAAGTTCTAGCTGCCACCTGAAACATCCTGCTGGACATGACCAAAGAGAAACAGCCAGAGAAAAAAAAGGCAGCATCGTAAATTTTTTTAATGAAAAGTCTTTTAGACTCCTTCGCTTAAAACTGTAACTCACTTCCAACTAGGGATGCAAATCACCAGATCACATACATCGATATGTTTGGATGACGATTTGATATTTCTCTATATTACAGTCTGTCACGATACGATTTTGGTTCAATTCAATTCACATGTCTGAGATCGATATAATGCGATATCATCTGCCCATCTAACACAATGACTGTGTTAGATGGGCAAATGCTATCGATTCACATCGAGCATATGATGACGAAATACTGTAGATCGATATTTTCCTTTTGCCTCAATATAAATGAATAATGAACCATTCAAATTGGTATATCGATATAGATCGACGTATTGTTGCACCCCTAATTCCAACATGGTGTTGCTCCACTTTCTTGCAACAAAAGGAGCACATCCTCAGACTTGGAATTGCAAATTCCCACCCTGACTGTTTGATAATTGCTTCATGCTCCAAACTGTTGCAGGTCTCCAACAAATGAATCCAACAAGAACACATTATCTACAGACGGAGCCATGAGATTTGAAGCGAACCAAACTGGAAAACCTCTGCCCTTTGGCTTCAACTAAAAATGCAACGCAAGAGTCAAAGGTTTCAAGAATCCATCATAATATAAATGTGAAACAGCGTGGACTTTACAGAAAGCTCCTCAATAAAGTTGAGACTTACAGCGTAATTAAAACAGAAAAAAAAAGGTTTTGCTCTGTCTGTAGAGCACACTTTATATTTTTTTGCTGCTGCAGCCTGAAAATCAAAGGCAAACAGAAGTGTAGTTGAATAACCGGCATGAAAAAAACGCAAACTGAAAATGGTCCGTCAGTTTGTTACACCTGTAAGTAAGAACAAAATTTTTGTTTTTTTAAACACACACAAGGTTTAAGTCCAGGAGGTCGCCTTTTGGAGGGAACAGCTTCTCAAGTTGCTCCAGTTGTGTGCGTTTCACTGTTTTGGTTTGTGTGTCGGCATGATATGTGTGTTTCCATGCCTAAGTAATGGCTGCTGGAGGGGCTAAGATGACTGGATACATCCAGACAGATCAAGCATGTGCCTAATTGGCCAGTCATTATCCTGTTAGCCAGTATGTGTGTGTCTTGTCTCTTTGCATGTTTGTCTGCCTATGTGAGTGTATGTGTGTGTGTGTGTGGTGGGAGTACGTGTCCACCGTCGTGTTTACCAGATGCAACGCTGACACAGACTCTATGGCCGCAGGATGTAAAGAGTTGGACTGTGTGTGTGTATGTGTGTGTGTGTGTGGTGGGAGT